TCCCCCCCCACCCGCAGCTCTCTCAATGGCTTGTCACCTCTTCGGGCATTCCCCCCCCACCCGCAGCTCTCTCAATGGCTTGTCACCTCTTCGGGCATTCCCCCCCCACCCGCAGCTCTCTCAATGGCTTGTCACCTCTTCGGGCATTCCCCCCCCACCCGCAGCTCTCTCAATGGCTTGTCACCTCTTCGGGCATTCCCCCCCCACCCGCAGCTCTCTCAATGGCTTGTCACCTCTTCGGGCATTCCCCCCCCACCCGCAGCTCTCTCAATGGCTTGTCACCTCTTCGGGCATTCCCCCCCCACCCGCAGCTCTCTCAATGGCTTGTCACCTCTTCGGGCATTCCCCCCCCACCCGCAGCTCTCTCAATGGCTTGTCACCTCTTCGGGCATTCCCCCCCCACCCGCAGCTCTCTCAATGGCTTGTCACCTCTTCGGGCATTCCCCCCCCACCCGCAGCTCTCTCAATGGCTTGTCACCTCTTCGGGCATTCCCCCCCCACCCGCAGCTCTCTCAATGGCTTGTCACCTCTTCGGGCATTCCCCCCCCACCCGCAGCTCTCTCAATGGCTTGTCACCTCTTCGGGCATTCCCCCCCCACCCGCAGCTCTCTCAATGGCTTGTCACCTCTTCGGGCATTCCCCCCCCACCCGCAGCTCTCTCAATGGCTTGTCACCTCTTCGGGCATTCCCCCCCCACCCGCAGCTCTCTCAATGGCTTGTCACCTCTTCGGGCATTCCCCCCCCACCCGCAGCTCTCTCAATGGCTTGTCACCTCTTCGGGCATTCCCCCCCCACCCGCAGCTCTCTCAATGGCTTGTCACCTCTTCGGGCATTCCCCCCCCACCCGCAGCTCTCTCAATGGCTTGTCACCTCTTCGGGCATTCCCCCCCCACCCGCAGCTCTCTCAATGGCTTGTCACCTCTTCGGGCATTCCCCCCCCACCCGCAGCTCTCTCAATGGCTTGTCACCTCTTCGGGCATTCCCCCCCCACCCGCAGCTCTCTCAATGGCTTGTCACCTCTTCGGGCATTCCCCCCCCACCCGCAGCTCTCTCAATGGCTTGTCACCTCTTCGGGCATTCCCCCCCCACCCGCAGCTCTCTCAATGGCTTGTCACCTCTTCGGGCATTCCCCCCCCACCCGCAGCTCTCTCAATGGCTTGTCACCTCTTCGGGCATTCCCCCCCCACCCGCAGCTCTCTCAATGGCTTGTCACCTCTTCGGGCATTCCCCCCCCACCCGCAGCTCTCTCAATGGCTTGTCACCTCTTCGGGCATTCCCCCCCCACCCGCAGCTCTCTCAATGGCTTGTCACCTCTTCGGGCATTCCCCCCCCACCCGCAGCTCTCTCAATGGCTTGTCACCTCTTCGGGCATTCCCCCCCCACCCGCAGCTCTCTCAATGGCTTGTCACCTCTTCGGGCATTCCCCCCCCACCCGCAGCTCTCTCAATGGCTTGTCACCTCTTCGGGCATTCCCCCCCCACCCGCAGCTCTCTCAATGGCTTGTCACCTCTTCGGGCATTCCCCCCCCACCCGCAGCTCTCTCAATGGCTTGTCACCTCTTCGGGCATTCCCCCCCCACCCGCAGCTCTCTCAATGGCTTGTCACCTCTTCGGGCATTCCCCCCCCACCCGCAGCTCTCTCAATGGCTTGTCACCTCTTCGGGCATTCCCCCCCCACCCGCAGCTCTCTCAATGGCTTGTCACCTCTTCGGGCATTCCCCCCCCACCCGCAGCTCTCTCAATGGCTTGTCACCTCTTCGGGCATTCCCCCCCACCCGCAGCTCTCTCAATGGCTTGTCACCTCTTCGGGCATTCCCCCCCCACCCGCAGCTCTCTCAATGGCTTGTCACCTCTTCGGGCATTCCCCCCCCACCCGCAGCTCTCTCAATGGCTTGTCACCTCTTCGGGCATTCCCCCCCCACCCGCAGCTCTCTCAATGGCTTGTCACCTCTTCGGGCATTCCCCCCCCACCCGCAGCTCTCTCAATGGCTTGTCACCTCTTCGGGCATTCCCCCCCCACCCGCAGCTCTCTCAATGGCTTGTCACCTCTTCGGGCATTCCCCCCCCACCCGCAGCTCTCTCAATGGCTTGTCACCTCTTCGGGCATTCCCCCCCCACCCGCAGCTCTCTCAATGGCTTGTCACCTCTTCGGGCATTCCCCCCCCACCCGCAGCTCTCTCAATGGCTTGTCACCTCTTCGGGCATTCCCCCCCCACCCGCAGCTCTCTCAATGGCTTGTCACCTCTTCGGGCATTCCCCCCCCACCCGCAGCTCTCTCAATGGCTTGTCACCTCTTCGGGCATTCCCCCCCCACCCGCAGCTCTCTCAATGGCTTGTCACCTCTTCGGGCATTCCCCCCCCACCCGCAGCTCTCTCAATGGCTTGTCACCTCTTCGGGCATTCCCCCCCCACCCGCAGCTCTCTCAATGGCTTGTCACCTCTTCGGGCATTCCCCCCCCACCCGCAGCTCTCTCAATGGCTTGTCACCTCTTCGGGCTTTCCCTTCACCTACCTTGACTACCAACTCACCCTAAGCTGCTGCTCCCACCCACTCTTCCTCCTTCCTCCCCCCCGCCCCCCCTTCTTCCCCCTCCCCCCCACCCCCAGCTCTCTCAATGGCTCATCACCTCATCGGGCTTTCCCCTCACCTACCTTGACTACCAACCCGCCCTCGCCTGTTGCCCCTTCCCCCCTTCCCTCCGCTCCCCTCCCCCCGCCCCCCCTTCTTCCCCCTCCCCCCCACCCCCAGCTCTCTCAATGGCTCATCACCTCATCGGGCTTTCCCCTCACCTACCTTGACTACCAACTCGCCCTCGCCTGTGCTGTGCGGTGCAATGCGGTGGGGACCGTTCGAGAGATGTTCCTCTCCTTCCCTGAGGAGTTCCGGAAAGAAAAGGTGGGTGGGATTTGGGAATTCAGTGTGGTTGAATTGGTTTGAGTGCGGTTGACTGGGTTTTTTTCGCCTCTTAGCCAACTTGTCCTCGTAGCATGTGCTGCGCGGTGCAATGCGGTGGAGAATGTTCGAGGCATGTTTCTCTCCTTTCCTGAGGCGTTCTGCACTGAAAGTTGATTGGATTTGGGAATCTAGTGGGGTTGATTTGCGTTGGGTGTGTGGATGAGTGCGGTTGACTGGGGTATCTTGCCCTCATAACCTATTGCCCTGCCCTCCCAGCCTGTGCTGTGCGGTGCAATGCGGTGGAAACCATTTGAGCAATGTTGTCTTACCTTCTCTAGCAGTATTATCAGTTCCTCCTCCTCAGCAGAACTGGGTAAATTCCAATTGTTTTTCTCTCTGCCCGCTTGTGTCCAGGTGTACGTGGGAGTGCTACACCATTTTGCCAGGCGCGGGCGGACCCACAAGCTAGGGGAAGAACTGGAATGGCTCCGTAATCAAGGGGTAACTGCGGAAAATGCCTCGTACCGTGCCAGGCTTCAGGCGCTGTTAACCGAGCAGGAGATTATAATGAGAGGAGCTGCCTGGAATGGAGCAGATGTGACATTTATGAGTGAGGGAGAGGGGGAAGGAGGAGAGGAGGAGGAGGGAGGGGGACGAAGAGGGGAGGAAGGGGAGGGGGGTTGGAATGATGCGGATTGGTTTGAGGTAGGGGAGGGGAAGGAAGGTTCGAGGAAGGAGCGGTTGGAGAATGTGTTGGGGGATGTGGATCAGTTGCTGCAAGATATGAAGGACAAGGTGAGTGTAACGAGAAGGTGATTATAACGAGAATAAGGTGTTGATTAGAAAAGGAACGTGATTGTGACGAGAATAAGGTCCAAATAATATGATATACCTTCCTCCTGCTCCTTTTCTATCATCTCTGCTTCCCTGTGCGTCTCCCACCCCCTCACCACAGGAAATGATGTCTGCCTGACCAAGCTGCTTGCAACGTCGCTCTTGCCAGCCTCAGCAGGGGCACATGTGTGTATGCCATGCACACTTGCTATGATATACCAAGCTTCCCTGGTCCCTTGCGCGTCTCCACCCCACAGGGAATGATGCCTGTCTGACCAAGCTGCTTGCAACGTCGCTCTTGCCAGCCTCAGCAGGGGCACATGTGTGTATGCCATGCACACTTGCTATGATATACCAAGCTTCCCTGGTCCCTTGCGCGTCTGCACCCCACAGGGAATGATGTCTGCCTGACCAAGCTGCTTGCAACGTCGCTCTTGCCAGCCTCAGCAGGGGCACATGTGTGTATGCCATGCACACTTGCTATGATATACCAAGCTTCCCTGGTCCCTTGCGCGTCTCCACCCCACAGGGAATGATGTCTGCCTGACCAAGCTGCTTGCAACGTCGCTCTTGCCAGCCTCAGCAGGGGCACATGTGTGTATGCCATGCACACTTGCTATGATATACCAAGCTTCCCTGGTCCCTTGCGCGTCTGCACCCCACAGGGAATGATGTCTGCCTGACCAAGCTGCTTGCAACGTCGCTCTTGCCAGCCTCAGCAGCTTGGGGGGTCCCATGTGTATTCCGCGCTCCTCTGTTCCCCCCACCCTTCCTGCCATCACAGGGAATGATGCCGGACGAAGTTGCTTACAGCGTCGTTCTACCCAGCCTCACCTGGCTCGGGCGCAAACGTGTGGTCTATACACCGAGCTCCCCCGCTCCCCTATGCTTCTCCACCACACCGCCAGGGAATGATGCCGGACGAAGTTGCTTACAGCGTCGTTCTTGCCAGCCTCAGCAGGCTCGGGTTGGGCACATGCGTGTGTGTGTGTGTGTGTGTGTGTGTGTGTGAGCGCTATACCACTTATTCGCTGCGATGTGTATGATAAATCATACACCATGCTCCACGTGACACCACTCCACACCACACCACACCACCCACCACCAGGGAATGATGCCGGACGAAGTTTCCTACAACGTCGTTCTTGCCAGCAGGGGGGTATTCCCCCCACCCAGGCTCGGGTTGGGCACATGCGTGTGTGCTGTGAGAGCGGTAGACACCATTGCGATTCGTTTGTTAATTGATACACCACTCCACACCGCACCACACCATGCCACACTGCACCCCACAGGGAATGATGCCGGACGAAGTTGCTTACAACGTCGTTCTTGCCAGCCTCGCCAGGCTCGGGCAGATCGAAAAAATAGAGGCCTATCTTGCACGCATGCGGGCAGACGGCGGGCAGCCCAGCGGCGTGACGTACAACATCCTGATTGGTGCATACGCGCTCGCCGGGCAGTTTGAAAAAACGGACGTGTGTATCGAGGCGATGCGGGAAGCAGGAGAAAAGTTTAATGTGAAGACCTATTGGGCCTTGATGGGGCGATATGCGAAGCGAGGAGCGGTTGAGAGGTTTTCCAAAGTGTGGGAGGAGGTGAAGCAGGTTGGATTGCCTCTGGACAGGTGAGAGAGATGTAATGTACTTTCTGATTTCTGTGTGGGTGGGGGTGGGGGTGGGCGTGGGGATGGGGGCGGGGATGGGGTTGGGGGTGGGGGGGGGTGGGGGTGGGGGTGGGGATGGGGGTGGGGGTGGGGGTGGGGGTGGGGGTGGGGTTGGGGGTGGGTGTGGGGATGCATGTGTGGGTGGGGTTGGGCGTGTCTCTGTGAGGGTGCAAGGGTGTTCTTTCCTGGTGGACTGCTCGCTCCTGTGTCCTTCAGCACTATTGAGAATTGTTTCTGCGAATTTTCAAGAGTGATTTCTGAGTCGACTCAAAAGTCGTGATTTTTTAGTCGACTCAAAAAGCCTGTGCAGGGGTGTTCTGTCCTCGTGGATTGCTCCCTCCTGTGTCCTTCTGCAATCTTGAGGGGAGTGTTTGTGAGAATCCTCAGAAGTGATTTCTGAGTCGGCTCAAAAGTCGTGATCTTTTTAGTCGACTCAAAAGTCGTGTGCAGGGGTGTTCTGTCCTCGTGGATTGCTCCCTCCTGTGTCCTTCAGCACTTTTGAGAATTCTCGAAACTGATTTCTTTTTCTTCCTCTTCCCCCGCCCCTTGAAATCCCCCACCCACCCACCCACCACTTGCCAAAGTTCTCCACTTGCAAGTTGAGAGTGGTACGTGCTCCACCCACCCACCCTCCCTTGAGAGTGGTACGTGCTCCACCCACCCACCCTCCCTTGAGAGTGGTACGTGCTCCACCCACCCACCCTCCCTTGAGAGTGGTACGTGCTCCACCCACCCACCCTCCCTTGAGAGTGGTACGTGCTCCACCCACCCACCCTCCCTTGAGAGTGGTACGTGCTCCACCCACCCACCCTCCCTTGAGAGTGGTACGTGCTCCACCCACCCACCCTCCCTTGAGAGTGGTACGTGCTCCACCCACCCACCCTCCCTTGAGAGTGGTACGTGCTCCACCCACCCACCCTCCCTTGAGAGTGGTACGTGCTCCACCCACCCACCCTCCCTTGAGAGTGGTACGTGCTCTCTGTCTTGTACAAGCACGTACCTTTCTCAATCAACTTGCAGTTCGTGGGTTCCCCCTCCTGTGTTCCTCTCTGAGTTGAGTTTTGAGTCGACTCAGAAGTCTTTCTTGTACAAGCACGTACCACTCTCAACTTGCAGTTTGTGTGTTCCCCCTCCTGTGTTCCTCTCCTTACCCTCTCTCTTCTTCTCTCTCTCACTCATACAGTGACACCTAAACCCTCCTCTCTCGCAAGTTGCCCATCCTTTCCCAAATCTCTTTCTTTTAGGTGCTTGTCTCCGTCTCGAATCGAGGTGCACAGCCCAAAACAACGACCCGGAAACCCTCCCACCCCTTGCCCCTCCTTACCCAAATTTATTTCTAATATTTTTTCGTCTTGAATTGCGGTTCCCGTGCTCCTCCTGTGTTCCTCTCTGAGTTGACTTTATCCCCTCCTCCTGTGTTCCTTATCCCCTCTTCGTCTCCCTTCCCCCTACCTCAACCCCCCTGGCCTTTGATTCCCTGGCTCTCTGCTTACAGGAGCATGTACCACTCGCTAATCGAGGTGCACAGCCGAGCGGGAGACCTGGAGAAGGCCGAGCAGGTGAGGAAGAGGAGTGGAGTTGGGAGGATTTGAGAGGAGGAGAGAGCACGCAAAGGAGCATGTATCACTCTCAGATCGAGGTGCACAGCCGAGCGGGAGACCTTGAGAAGGCCAAGCAGGTGAGAGACAGGTGACCATAAGCATGCAAGTTGGTAGCCTCTTCGTACCTTTCTTAAAAACCATACCAGTGAGGAACAGACGCTCATGGGCGCATGTACCGCTCGCTAATCGAGGTGCACAGCCGTGCGGGAGACCTGGAGAAGGCCAAGCAGGTGAGGGACAGGTGACCATAAGCATGCAAGTTGGTAGCCTCTTCGTACCTTTCTTAAAAACCATTCCAGTGAGGAACAGACGCTCATGGGAGCATGTTCCACTCGCTAATCGAGGTGCACAGCCGTGCGGGAGACCTGGAGAAGGCCAAGCAGGTGAGGGACAGGTGACCATAAGCATGCAAGTTGGTAGCCTCTTCGTACCTTTCTTAAAAACCATTCCAGTGAGGAACAGACGCTCATGGGAGCATGTTCCACTCGCTAATCGAGGTGCACAGCCGAGCGGGAGACCTTGAGAAGGCCGAGCAGGTGAGGGGAGGCGAGAGGAGTGAGGCATAGAAAGAACATATGATGAGAGGAGTGGGATGGGCTGAAGAGAGGATGCTAGAAGTAGCAGCAAAGGCGTTAAAAAGAGGGTTGCGGGTCCCCCCTTTCTGAAAGGGCTCCCTTTGAACTCAGCGGTCCACCCTTGAACCACCCCCCCTTCAGGCATTCAATGAGACGCGTGCGCTCATGCCTCCCACCACGCCATCATTCAACGTGCTCCTATCAGCAGTGGGCAGGGCGGGCCGGGAGGCCCTTCAGCGCTGCCCTCCTTACCCTGTTCCCTATTCCCTATTCCCTATCCCCTAATCCCTATTCCCTATTCCCTATTTTCCTCCCCCGTGCATCCCGCCCTTCCCCTCCCAGGCGTTCAATGAGATGTGTGCGCTCATGCCCCCACCACTGCATCCTTCAACGTGCTCCTAGCAGCATTGGGCAGGGCGGGCAGGGAGGCCAAACATGATCCCTTCAGCGCTGCCCTCCTTACCCTGTTCCCCACTTCCTATCCCCTATTGCCTATTCCCTATTCCCTATTCTCCTCCCCCGTGCATCCCTCCCTTCCCTTCCCCAGGCCTCCAATGAGATGTGTGCGCTCATGCCCCCCACCACCGCATCCTTCAACGTGCAAAATTTAAAGCCCACTCCTCCGTCCAATGTCCCTTCCTACCTTCCCCATCCCCCTCCCAGGCGTTCAACGAGATGTGTGCGCTCATGCCCCCCACCACTGCATCCTTCAACGTGCTCCTGGCAGCTCTCAGTCAGGCAGGCAGGTTGAATGGGCAGGCCCAACAAGATCCCTGCAGTGATTCAGTCCTTACCCTGTTCCTTCTCTATTCCACGTTCTCTCTTCTCCTGCCCCCATCCCCCCTCCCCCCCTCCCACAGGCGTTCAACGAGATGTGTGCGCTCATGCCCCCCACCACTGCATCCTTCAACGTGCTCCTGGCAGCTCTCAGTCAGGCAGGCAGGCCCGACAAGATCCCGGCAGTGCTGCAGTCAATGCAGCGGTGGGGGCGTCCCAAGGACCCCGGGACTTACGTGCGCCTCATTTCCGCGAATCTAAAAGCTGGTGAGTGGTGTGTGGGTGGGTGAGGAGGGGTTGAGTGGGGTAGGGAAGGCATGGGGGTAGGGCAAGCAGGACCCAAGGACCCCAGGACATACATGCCCCTCATTACTGCGAATCTAAAAGCTGGTGAGTAGGGAGGGTGGGCAGGTGAGGGGCAGGGAGGGTGGGAAGAGGGGCAGGGAGGTTGGGAAGAGAGGGGCAGGTACGACAGGGAGGTCTGACAAGATCCCGGCAGTGCTGCAGTCAATGCAGCGGTGGGGGCGACCCAAGGACCCCGGGACATACGTGCACCCCGTTAAGGCAATTCTGAAATCTGGTGAAGTTAGCGGTTTGAGCAAGGGATGTATGTTGGTGGGGTGGGGGCTGGGAGGACTCCACTGTACCGCACTGTACCCCTTTCTCTGGGTGCTATGAGGGCCCTGGGGGAAGCAGCAGCTGTGGGAATGCAGTGGATGGACCAGAAGCTTCCATTCATCGCACTCTACCGCACTGTACCGCACCGTTCTGTGTCTTCTCTGTGTGCCTGGCAGGCGACGAGGAGGGAGCCATGAGGGCCCTGCGGGAAGCAGCAGCAGTGGGAATGCACCCACTTCATCGCACTCTATCCCTCTGCAGCCCACCGTTCCATGCCTTCCCTCTGCCAGCAGCAGCCGTGGGAATGCAGCGGATGGACCAGAAGCTGCCCTTCTCTGCCCTGCTTCAGTCGGTGTCTTGTACCCCACTTTACCCCACTGTACCGCACTGTACCCCACCCTGGCAGGCAATGAGGAGGGTACCATGTGGGCCCTGCGGGAAGCAGCAGCTGTGGGAATGCAGAGGAATGACCAGAAGCTTCCCTTTATCGCACTCTACCCCTCTGTACCCCACCATTCCATTCCTTCCCTCTGCCAGCAGCCGCCGTGGGAATGCAGAGGAACGACCAGAAGCTTCCCTTCTCTCCCCTGATCCAAGTGCTCATTCCCGCCCGCGACACATGGTTCACGTGCAGGGGATGAGTGCACTCTCTTAAAACCCACTGTACCGCACTGTACCCCACTGTGCCTGGCAGGCGACAAGGAGGGAGCCATGAGGGCCCTGCGGGAAGCAGCAGCCGTGGGAATGCAGAGGAACGACCAGAAGCTTCCCTTCTCTTCGCTGATCCAAGTGCTCATTCCCGCCCGCGACAAGGGCGACGTGGTTGGCGTGAAGGAGATTATCGGTCTCTCTCGTACCCTTTATAAGATGACTGATCCGCGGCTGTTCCGCGACCTCATTGTGACTATAGTGAATCGGTGGGAGAAGGAGAAGGGGGTGACGCAAAGGGATGCTGGAGAGGAGGAGGGGCGGCTGGCGGATAAGGAAGAAGATCCTTCCTGGAAGCGTCTGGTTTCAGACATTCGAGGGGTGCTCAAGGATATGAAGGAGTTGGGAATCGAGCCGACCAAAAAAACAGTTCAAATTCTTGAGTCTCAGGGACTGTCACATTTAGTATTGGAAACTGCGTGATTTGTCGGGTGGATGCCCTACAAAGTGAGGCAGCAGAAATGATTTGGCTTGGCTAGTGATTTGGATGGATGATGGATCTTTTTTTAACTACTAACCTTCTGGGATGTTTCATTTGCTACATCTACTTCAACCACCAAAATCCACCGAGTACCAGAGAATATCAATCCAGTTCACTTCCCTGAATATTTTTGCGTATATAAGTGAAACTGGAATGTTTTATACGAAAGGGCCTACCTACCTGCCATCACATCACCTCACCCACCCAACCGATACGACCACTGTCTAACGATTTCATTTCAGCGCTGTCAGATATTTCAGCCACGTCATTTCATTGTGGTTTTGACGATTGTAGACCATGAAAGAGATTTATTATTCACTATCGGATGGGAGGTCCACTTGTACCCGGATAAGGCTTCGTCGAAACCACAAGTAAACTGACAGTTGCGACGTCAGTCGAAACCACAAGATGTGAACTCACTTCTGACATCCATGCTCTGTGGGCTCCTCGTTGTCCGATAAAGATTTGCTTTCTGTTGCCCACAGGGTAGCGAGAGCACAATCAGGGTCCCGCAGAAACGAGTCGCGAGTCTAGCCACACACCTGGTGGTGATCCAGTCTAGCCACGGACACGCGTGCGACATTCGACTCGCTTTTCGCTGGAGGCACGCACAGCGGACAGAATGGAGTGGGATGGGATGGGATGGGATGGGATGGGATGGGAGGGAACCTCCTACCTCACATGGCTGGGCAGCGATGTCTCGTACTTTCGTGAACGTGTGAGGTCAACCGGTTACCACTGTCGCTGACCACGAGGGAGGGAAGCCAAGCGTCACACAGGCCGCAAGACAGAATCCTCCTCTCAGTTTGTACAGGTCACAGAACCTCCATTCGAGAGCGCTGTAGCCACAACTACAGTTCAGGTGTAATTTCACTGTACAAGCATTAAAACTCTCGTTTCTTATCCCACCCGATCCCCGCCACAGAAACGTTGCATCTCTGGAGCTCCACGCGCATGGCGCTCCACACACTGCCAGCTCTGTCATCATTAGAACAACGAGCCTCTCGTTTCTGCGGCTGTAAGCCCCTTGTTCCCGTTCTTCAGCGAGATTCGGGTTTGTCGTTCGTTGCCTGCCCCGCCAATCAGACCGTGGATGTATTTTTCATTTCTGCCCCTACTTCGCCTCCTCCAAGCGTATGGGTGTCTAGAAACACTACCGTGGATGTGTTTCTTCTTTCCTTGTCAATAGAACCAGCTAGCTAAGCTAATCCGCCAGTCCTTCATCGATCTTGATAGATCGTCTTAGTTGTCTGCTCCTAACTTGAGAACGTTTTGTTAGATAGAAGTACTCTCACACATCGACAGCCATTAGTACAGCCCTACGAACAGGTTCACCTAGCGTATCTCAGTTGTTCTTGCGAGGTTTTGCATAGTAAACGTTGTTCCCGTAACGTCCGATAACCGTGTCCTGGCCATCCGCTAAAATGGCTGTGTGCACGCCACAGGCGATCAAATCAGATGAGTACAATTTCGAGAAAAAAAACTTCTTTAGCCGGCCGAGCCGCCAGTCTCTAGACTCTTACCGGCCGGCGATGGGGACTCCTCCCAAGGGCCGTCCTCCAATCAGCATGTCGACTTTCCCATCCATGATGGCTCCAGGATCTACGCTCGGTAGCACGCCGGGAACTTCGCCAGGAGACTCTCCAGGAGCCACGTCATCACCTTCCGAACCGAAACCTCCGGCTGGGCTTAATATCTCCTCGTTTTCGTCGTACTCTTCCATTCACGACTCGAGGGCTCAAAAGAAGAGCCTTCTTGGCGGTAACCCAGCTTTCGGCGGGAAACCCGGCGGCGGAGCGTTCGGAGGAGACGCGTCGCAGAAGCACCAAAGCAACGGGTCGCACGCCAATCTCCCCCGCTGCCCGTCGCCGAACACGACTCTCGGTCGTCCAGGCCCGTCGCCGCAGTCGTCGTATCCGGTGTCGCCGGAATCGTCGGACGAGTCGTCGCCTTCCGTCGCCGCAGTGCCCGCGTCGCAGAAATCCGGTTCAGTGCTAAGATCAGTTTCTGGAACCGGAAACTCGTTTTTAGGAGGAGGTAATTCGTTTCTAGGGAGAAGCGGCGCGACAGGCGCCGTTGCGCGGTTGGCTGGGGAGAGCAATAACGGCTCGGCGACTCCTCCGCGAACTTTTGCGAACGAGTTCAGCGCGAAGGTTACCAACCAGTTGCACGAGCTGGGAGGGAATGGGGGTGGTGGATCGGGTACTTCGTCTACTGCGAGCTCTGGCGAAGTCGCGACGACTGCGATTGATTCTCCGCCAGTCAACGCGATCTGCTTAAACATGCAAGGTTAGTTGGATACTCTTTCTTTTTCGTCGATCTTATAGATTATGCGGACATTTGTAGAATGCGTTATCCTCGCTTACTGCTGCTTACTTAGTTACTCTTGTCCCCTAGATTTCTCGTTCATTTTCCCGTCATTTTTCCTCTGATCTCGTGTTTTTCTCGGTTTGCTTTCTGCAGAGGTCGAAGATGTTGTGGCCGAAAAGGAATTCTCCAAAGCAGTGTTGCAGTTTATCGACATTACAACGATCTCTTCAAGCGTTGACGATGACGGAACGCAAGCGGAATACGTCATTTGGGGCCTGAAGTTCTCCGACGCTGCTGGATGGGAATTCCCCGCTAAAGCCGCCGCTCCCGCGACGGCCTCCCCCGCCGATTCTCCCCCGCGCGCGCAATCCTCCGCTCCCCTTCAGCCTGGCGCAAGCGGATACTTCGGCGCTCCGCGCATCGTTCCGACGGTAATTCCACCGAAGGTTGCCAATCTGGCGGAGCGCGGCGCGCAGACGATCGCGCCCTCGGAAGAGCCAATGAAAAGGCTGAACGGGCCGCGGGAGGTGGATCTTGATTTGCTGCCGAAATATATGACGGACGATGATTTGACGCGATACATCTTCGATTAAGTTACGGTTTCTCATTACGTGGGGGAAGCTGGGACAAGAAAGTATCTCGGCGAGGTTCGGCGAGGATCAGCGAGGTTCGGTGAGGAGGTTCTGATTAGCTGGGAGGGTGGGTTGGAAGTTGCTGCTGGTTGGGTTCGAACTCGCGACCTCTTGATTCGCAGGTGCAGCAGATGCTTGTGAAATATTGGTCAGGAAGGGATTTGGATGGGATGGTCCTTGATGCGCCACGCTTTGCGGATGCTTCCAGAGACGGCGGACTGGAGTGGGGTCCGCGGGTTTATGAGTGAACAAGTCCGGAAGCGGGGTGCTGGTTCGGAACGAGGCTAGGGAAAACCAGGTTCGGGTCGACGTTGGGCTGGTGTTTCCAGTCATCTTGGCTCGGCGCGGTGTTGACCCTGGGATTGCCGAGCCGAAACAACTGCATTGGCAGCAGAATCAACAGGAGGCAAGGCTTCAGGAGAGGGAGGATATGTGGAGACTGTCTTGTGTTCTCCTATGTTACAAGTTGACCGTACATAAGCAGAACCTAAGTGCTTCCCAATCTCCCCATCTTTCTCTCTTCCTTCCCCTGTTCCCTTTGCCTTGATCCTCGCATCTTCCTTCTCCCCGCTCACTCCTTTCCCTCTTCCCCCCCCCCCCCCCCCCCACAAGCCACACCTTCTCCAGCTAACCCCCTCCGTCCCTCACTCTCTCTTCCTCCGTTCACCCCCTCCCTCCCTCACTCGCTGCACCTCCACTCTCCCCCCCCCCCCCTCACGCCCCTCTCCACGCACTCCACCTCCCTCTGTCCTCCCTTCGGCGATGCTGCCAGCTGGCACCTGCTAGCCTGTCAGCTGCGCTTCAATCTTTGAATATTGGACTAAGGGTACATGTTCAAGTGCTTGGTGCTGCTGCGCTCATCTCTGCAGCATTCCGCTTGCTGCCGTCTGTCACTTGCAGTTGCCGATAAATCATCTCTTCGCTGCTCCACCTTCCCTCCACCTGCCCTCCACCTTCTATCCACCTTCCCTCCGCCTGCCCTCCGCCTGCCCTCTACCTGCTCCTCTCTCCGCTCCAGCTGCTTCTCTCTGCAGCATTCCGCTTGCTGCCGTCTGTCACTTGCAGCTGCCGATAAAGCGTCTCTTTGCTGTTCCAGCTGCCCTCAAGCTGTCCTCAAGCTGCTCCTCTCGCTTCTCCAGCTGCTCCTCTCTGCAGCATTCCATTTGCTGCCGCTTGTCACTTGCGGCTGCCGATTAAGTGTCTCTTAGCTTCTTCCAGCTGCTGCCTCTCTCTCTGTACTTCAGCTGTTTCGGTTGCCTCAGCTGCTCCAGCCGCCTCTCACTACTGGTTTTCTGATAGCTTATTCTGCAGCAGTTTACCCTAGTTTTTTTTACCAACGCTTTAATTTTTCTACATTCATTTCAACATCTCCCCTTTCCCCATACTGTCCCTCCTGCTGTGAAAGGACATGGAGGGTGTGGTGTGGAGTGGAGGGGATTGTTATTCGCAACTTTGCTGTAGTTATGCATATTAAAATGTAGATTGATGATTCGGTCCTCACCTCTTTTGTTGGTGATGGCATCGTGCTGGTTCAATCACCTTGGGGAAATGTTGACCAGCTTCAGTTTTGCAGTCTTAGCATAAATAAATACCATTCTGTGTTCATTCACTTCGCCCCTAGGGAGACGATGTTGTTATCCTCCATAAAATCAGCATTACCAAGAGTGCTTGCGTACACGCCATACAGCAGCACACCCGAGGAAAGGGACATACGTTTGACAGAATAGCTATACACATGGTGGTTAATGAATGGGCAGCAATAACGTGGATTTCCAAGAGCAGCTATACAAAGGAGGACGTTTTCCAGTTGACCAGAAATAGCATGAATTACCGAGAACAGCTGTACACAGGAGGTGGTACCTCACATGCACCCCAATGAGATGCATGTAAGCACAGCAGATGATGCTGATGGTGCTGCTGATGGTGCTAATGGTGCCGCTGACAGTACTGATGCTGACCAGAAAAAGGGATGGGCTACTGAGAACAGCTATACACAGGAGGTGGTCCCACTGTCACATGTGTCCCAATGAGTTGCATGTAAGCACAGCGGATGGTGCGGAGCGGATGGTGGTGCTGATGCTGCTGATGGTGCTGCTGGCAGTACTGATGGTGCTGAGAACAGGCGGTGGTCCCACCATCACATGCACCCCAACGAATCCTAATGATATGCACACAATACAAGCACAGCAGATGCTGCAAATGGTGCTGATGCTGCTGATGGTGGTGATGTTGTTGATGCTGCTGATGGTGCTGGTGGTGTTGATGCTGGTGATGCTGCTGATGATGCTGATGCTGCTGATGGTGGTGATGGTGGTGATGGTGTTGATGGTGCCCCAGGACGCTCAGTTGTGATAAGTTGTGCCCTGAGCGAAGCGGCACCAAGATACACCCAGGTACACCCAGGTACACCCAGGTACACCCAGGTACACCCAGGTACACCAGATACACCCAGATACACCCAGGTACACCCAGGTACATCCAGATACACCCAGATACACCCAGGTACACCCAGGTGCTCCGACGTACACCTGGTTACCCCAGGTGGCGTCTGATGAACTGTGCACCTGAATGCAACGGCACCCCCAGGTATTCCCAGGTACCCACTGCCCCCTCAGGTTTCTGCTCAGGTGTCTGATAAACTCCGCCCTGAATGTAACGGCACTCCCAGGTACTCCAGGTGGTTGGCTATGCTGTCGCCCACCACAGACCTGGTATGGGGGGAGATGATTGAAGTGGGACGGGGAGGGGAGGGGAGGGAGATATTTGAACAGGTGTCTCAGTCGCCTGCTGAACTGCGCCCAGAGTACAGCGGCACCCCGAGGTACTCCAAGTGGTTGGCTATGCTGTCGCCCACCACAGACCTGGTATGGGGGGAGATGATTGAAGTGGGACGGGGAGGGGAGGGGAGGGAGATATTTGAACAGGTGTCTCAGTCGCCTGCTGAACTGCGCCCAGAGTACAGCGGCACCCCGAGGTACTCCAAGTGGTTGGCTATGCTGTCGCCCACCACAGACCTGGTATGGGGGGAGATGATTGAAGTGGGACGGGGAGGGGAGGGGAGGGAGATATTTGAACAGGTGTCTCAGTCGCCTGCTGAACTGCGCCCAGAGTACAGCGGCACCCCGAGGTACTCCAAGTGGTTGGCTATGCTGTCGCCCACCACAGACCTGGTATGGGGGGAGATGATTGAAGTGGGACGGGGAGGGGAGGGGAGGGAGATATTTGAACAGGTGTCTCAGTCGCCTGCTGAACTGCGCCCAGAGTACAGCGGCACCCCGAGGTACTCCAGGTGGTTGGCTATGCTGTCGCCCACCACAGACCTGGTATGGGGGGAGATGATTGAAGGGGAAAGGGGAGGGGAGGGGAGGGAGATATTTGAACAGGTGTCTCAGTCGCCTGCTGAACTGCGCCCAGAGTACAGCGGCACCCCGAGGTACTCCAAGTGGTTGGCTATGCTGTCGCCCACCACAGACTTGGTATGGGGGGAGATGATTGAAGTGGGACGGGGAGGGGAGGGGAGGGAGATGATTGAAGTGGGTAGGGGAGGGGAGGGGAGGGAGATGATTGAAGTGGGTAGGGGAGGGGAGGGGAGGGAGATGATTGAAGTGGGTAGGGGAGGGGAGGGGAGGGAGATGATTGAAGTGGGTAGGGGAGGGGAGGGGAGGGAGATGATTGAAGGGGAAAGGGGTTTTGAACAGGAGTGAGGAAGGAGGGGTGGATGGGAGTCAAAGATAAGTCCAAAGCATGGGATTTAGCCTGGGAGCACGAGGCAGGGAAAGACCCCTGCTCGTTACCCCTACCTCCTACCCTGTTCCCCTATTCCCTGTCGTGCTACCCCTGCTTCCAGCCGTGATACTCATACATGAGCGGGAAAGAGACGCCTTAAAAGCCTTAGCCTTAGTATTCGAGACTGCTGCCGCCCACCTGCTGCAGCAGGGGCCTTCGCCTGTCTCTTCACACTAGTGTGACAACATATCAACTGCCTCTTTTCCACTCACGCACAGGCAGAGGGCATGAAACCGGAAAGCCTAAGGCTTGAATGTCACCCACCTGCTGCAGCCAGGATCTTCGCCTGTCTCGAGTTTTGAGATAACCCACCCTATCTAATTGCTGCCCCTTTTCCAGCCATGAGGTCAGGTCAGGACAAAGAATGCCACCCACCTGCTGCAGCAAGGGTCTTCGCCTGTCTCGTCACACTGGTGTATGTACCATGTCAGATCACCTGCATGCATGCCTGCATCTCAATCCCTGCGATAACACATCCACACATTGCCTCTTCTCCGCTCAAGCACCTAAGCCCTCACTGCAACTCACCTGCTGCATCAAGGGTCTTCCCCCGTGTCGTCACACTGGTGCACGTGCCACGCCTGATCACCTGCATGCATGCCTGCATCTCAATCCCTGCAATAACACATCCACACATTACCTGCTGCCTCTTCTCCGCTTATGCACTTAAACCTTCACTGCAACTCACCTGCTGCAGCAGGGGTCTTCCCCCGTGTCGTCACACTGGTGCACGTGCCACGTCAGGTCACCTGCATGCCACGTGGAAGGTGGAAAGAAAGGCAGCAGAGAGGGAGGTGTCAGATCACTTGCATGCCACGTGGAAGGTGGGGTCAAAGGCAGCAGAGTGAGAGGTGTAAGTGCACGTACATGTGTGTGTTGTGTGTGTCTCTGTGTGTGTCTCTGTGTGTGTGTGTGTGTGTGTGTGTGTGTGTATGTGTGTGTGTGTGTGTATGTGTGTGTGTGTGTGTGTGTGTGTGTGTGTGTGTGTGTCTGTATGTGTGTGTGTGCCTGTGTGTCTGCATGTGTGTGAGTATGTCTGTATGTGTGTCTGTGAGAGTGTGTATGTGTGTGAGTGTGTGTGTGTGTCTGTATATGTGTGTGTGTATGTCTGTATGTGTGCGTGTGAGTGTGTGTGTGTGTGTGTGTGTGTGTGTGTGTGAATTTGTGTGCGTGTGTGTGTGAATTTGTGTGCGTGTGTGTGTGAATGTGTGCGTGTGTGTGTCTGTATGTGTGTCTGAATGTTTGTATGTGTGGGTGTGTGTGTGTGTGTGTGTGTGTGTGTGTTTGTGTGTGTGTGTGTGTGTATATGTGTGTGTGTGTGTGTGTGTGTGAGTGTGTGTGTGTGTGTGTCTGGCTGCTCACTTCATCAAGCACCAGCGTTTCCTGTTGCAACAGCTGCCGCTGCAACAACTTGCGACTTTTGAGACGTCTCGAAAGTGTGTTGCCTCATGTGCATGTGAAGACCCACCTTGATGTCTGGCCTGGCTGCTTATATCGTCAAGCAGGGGAGTTTGCTCTTGCAGCAGCTGCCGCTGTAACGTTCTGCGACTTTAGAGACGTTTCAGAATGTGTTACTCTCCTACATGTGACGACCCACCTTGATGTCTGGCCTGGCTGCTGATATCGTCAAGCACGAGCGTTCGCTCTTGCGACAGCTGCCAGTGTAACGACGTTCCTCGTTGTAACGATCGACGATGCAACACTCGCCGGGGCAACGACCGGCGTTGCCTCAGCAAGTGAGGTAAAGAAACCGAGCCTGAACGCTCCTTCAAACTTGGTAAAGCTAAACTCGATGGACTGAACGACACATTGTGCACAGATTCAGGGATTATCCAGGCCTGCAGTGGGAAGGGGAGAGAGAGTACATGGTAGAAGGACAAATGAGACAAAAGCAGAACGCTCCTACACCCTTGGTGAAGCAGCTGTACTGAAAGAGAGCTCAACCTTAAATTCATTGTCTTCGATGGTGAAGATAGTGGCACCCAGTTCCAGTGAGGACTGGCGAGCTTTTGCGCTCTAACTTGAGTTCATGCTCACGACGGAGAATGGCGAAAATTTTTCAACAAGTGAGTTCGTGATACTCGCAATGCGTGCGATTAGTTCGAGTGTGGGTAACACGCATTGCGAGCATCACGGACTCACTTGCTGAAAACTTCTCACCATTCTCCGTCATGAAGATGCACGTGTCCTCTAGATAGAGCGCAAAGGCCCGCCAGTTCTTTTCACCGAAACTGGGTGCCACTTTCTGTACCATCAAAACGGTGCAAAATTATTCCCTCAAATAAAAATAAAATTTAAATTAAAAAAAATCACAAAGAAAACGGCGGTTTTTTCGCCGTATCCTTTGAACTACAAATGTTATCACAAAATTGTGCACAGAGTCTGGGATTATCAAAACTCACCTCAGTGGCCACGGGGCGGTAACCCATGGATGCAGGTGGCAAGAATATTTCTATATGTCTAGCTCTATTTTTATGTAGCAAATGATTGATTCAACCCTCTCACCTCACTAGCCATGTGGTGGTAGCCAATGGTTGCTGGCAGCAAGTTCAATACTAGATATCTAGATAACAATATTTGGAGGGCAAAAAAAAAAAAAAAAAAAAAAATCTCACCTCAGTAGCAACATGATGATAACCGATCGTAGCGGGCGGTAAGTGCGGCACAAGGTCCTTCCAGTTGGTCACGCGGGTGCTTCCAGGAACCTTCTGCCGGAAGTAGGTGGCAAAAGCAGCGTTGCCCACCCGAGGCGAGCCAAAGGTGACGACTCGAATGTCGGAAGATGGGAGGTCGTAGGACACCTGGAGAGGAGGGAGGGGGGTAAGCACACATCAGAAATGTACAACGGGTTGAAGGGGCATGCAGCAAAGTCAGCGTTGCCCACTCGGGGCGAGCCAAAGGCGACGACTCGAATGGCGGGCGATGGGAGGTCAAAGGACACCTGGGAGGATGGGGAAGGGAGAAATAGGAGACATGCAATGAATGGGAAAACAGCAGCTGGAGGGGTGTAAACGCAGCGTGATTTTTCACTTTTGACAAGAACATGTTTGCCCATTCTTGAGAATTCTCGAAAGTAATTTTCATGTTGACGAGAACATGTTTGCCCGCTTGAGACTCTGGGAGACTCTGAGACCCCCTATCAAACTGACAGACACTCCTGGAGGACAGACACGATCCGAACACATGCAATCCCTTCCTCCTACCCACCTGCAAGTCAAGAGCGCTGAGAGTAGCCAAAGCACCCCCAAGCGAGTGCCCCGTGAAGGCCACGCGGAATGATCCCAGAAGAATCGTCATCAGGAAAAGCACGGCATGCACCACAGCGGGGCGCAGGCGGGTGAAGTGGTAAGCAGAGTAGAAGCCGCGGTGCACACGGGCGTGGCGACTCTGCGATCCTCTATCGGATAGACAGGCAAACACACACAGGCAAAAAGACACACACTGACACGTCTCCTACCTAACCACCACCCACCTGCAGGTCAAGAGCGCTCAAAGTTGCGAGCGCGCCTCCCAGGGAGTGCCCAGTGAAGGCCACTCGGAAGGATCCCGGAAGGATCGTCATTAGAAACAGCACCGCATGCACCACGGAAGGCCGCAAACGCGTGAAGTGGTAAGCGGAGTAGAAGCCGCGGTGCACACGGGCGTGGCGCAGACCAGGGTAGGAGAGGGAGCGGGGGAGGGCCTCCAGATCGGCGATCCAGTTGCGGAGAGAGGAAGTGCAGGTGCCCCTGAATGCCACGATGATCAGATGTGATTGCGGGTCCCACCCGACATAGGCCTGTTGTGGCAGGGGAGATTGGAGCAGACAGGGAGATGAGGTTACGAGGGCAACTGAGGCAAGAGACAATCCAGTTGCGGAGAGACGAAGTGCAGGTGCCTCTGAATGCCACGATGATCAGATGTGATTGCAGGTCCCACCCGACATAGGCCTGTTGTGGCAGGGGAGATTGGAGCAGACAGGGGGATGAGGTTACGAGGGCAACTGAGGCAAGAGACAACCCAGTTGCGGAGAGAGGAAGTGCAGGTGCCCCTGAATGCCACGATGATCAGATGTGATTGCGGGTCCCACCCGACATAGGCCTGTTGTGGCAGGGGAGATTGGAGCAGACAGGGGGATGAGGTTACGAGGGCAACTGAGGCAAGAGACAATCCAGTTGCGGAGAGATGAAGTGCAGGTGCCTCTGAATGCCACGATGATCAGATGTGATTGCGGGTCCCACCCGACATAGGCCTGTTGTGGCAGGGGAGATTGGAGTAGACAGGGGGATGAGGTTACGAGGGCAACTGAGGCAAGAGACAATCCAGTTGCGGAGAGAGGAAATGCAGGTGCCTCTGAATGCGACTATGATGAGACCGGAGGGTGGGTCCCACCCACCTGACACAGGCCTGGCATGGCAGGGGGAAAGGAGCAGAGGCAGACAGGGACCGGGTCAGATCACTGGGGTAACTGAGAGCGGGGTAGGAGAGGGAGCGGGGGAGGGCCTCGAGATCGGCGATCCAGTTGCGGAGAGAGGAGGAGCAGGTGCCTCTGAATGCGACTATGATCAGCCGGGAGGGCGGATCCCATACCACGTAGGCCTGGCGTGGCAGGGGAAGGCAGACAAAGGCGGGGGAGAGTCGGGGCAAAGACAGACCAGGGTAACTGAGAGAGGGAGCGGGGGAGGGCCTCGAGATCGGCGATCCAGTTGCGGAGAGAGGAGGAGCAGATGTCCCTGAATGCCATGATGAGTCTGGAAGGCGGATCCCACCCGACATAAGCCTGCCAGCAGGGGGACGGGACAGAAATGGGACACACAGGGAGGCACCGGTTGAAGAGGTGGTTGTTCCAGTTGCGAAGAGACGATGTGCAGGTGCCCATGAATGCGACTATGATGAGGTGAGCTCTTGGGTCCCACCCCACGTACGCCTGCTGGGGGGGGAAGAGGCAAACAGGCACTGGGAAACCGAGAGGCACTGCAGGCGAGCAGTGGGCTCGACTATTATCTGGAACAGTTTTGAGAATTCTCAAAAGCAGGTAAAAGCTCCTCATCTCCGGCAGCACGCACTGGGAGTGCAAAGTTCCAACGAACAGGTAAAGTTCCACGCGTGCAATGATGCAATCTCTTCAATACCCTACACAGCGTTTCCCTGGGCTACCTACCAGCCTACTTGATCGGTGATTGACCCTCACCTGTAGTTGTGCGGTGGGCTCGACTATTATTTGAAAGAGGTGAAATCCTCTCATCTCCGGCGGCACGCACTGGGAGCAACAAGGCTACAGGCACTGGGCTCAACAACAGGGTACTTTATCCCTACGCCATCTGGCCTGGGAGGCTGACCCTCACCTGTAGTTGTGCGGTGGGCTCGACTATTATTTGAAAGAGGTGAAATCCTCTCATCTCCGGCAGCACGCACTGGGAGCAGTTCCACGCGTGCAGCGACGCGGTGTCTTCACTGTACACTGTAGCAGCGTGCAGCAGCAGCAGGTGAACCAGAGGCATGTCAATATCGGAGACGTTATTGCTGCTGCTGCTGCTGCTGCTGCTGCTGATGCTGGTGCTGGTGGTGACGGTGCTGGGAGCACTACTGCTGCTGGGAAAACTGTCTCTGCTGGGGGAACTGTTGCTATGACTGTTGTCCACACTACTGCTACTGCTGCCTGTGCTTCTTTGACTATCAAAGCTGATGTTGCTGCTGCCCATGCGTGTGACAGTAACGAAGGGCTTGTTCCTGACACAGTGCCACGGCCGCCAGTGGGGAAATCTGGACGGAACCGGCTGCTTATTCTGTCCCTCTCCGTCATGCAGAAACGGCTTGCCGTCCTGTTCCTCTCCGTCATACACAAACGGCTTGCCGTCTTGTCTTTCTCTGTCATACACAAACGCCTTGCCGTCTCGTCTTTCTTCCCCGCCGCTTATTTCTTGAACACCTAACTGACCTAATTGAGCATCTGTGGAAGGAAGCAGAAGGCTATGGGCGTCAAAACAGGCTGAGTCGAACAAAGACTGGAAAAACTTTTGGCTGACCGAGAATGCGTGTGCTCTGAACTTTTGGCTGACCGAAATCAGGGAGCTTAAACTGAACGTAGTGACAGTAGAATTAGGGGGTTGAGAGGAGAACAAACAGAAGGGAGTGACTGACAGAACGAAGATGCCGGTTAAGGCGAGGAGACTGACGGTGACGGTAACGGTGACGGACCGACATGGACACCAAGAGACGGAATCCGCTTTCATGGTCGCAAAGCCGATTCAACACTAGTCCTTAGAGTTTCAAGCCTACTCTGCTCCAATCATTCGTGCTGCGGAGTGATTAGTCCAAAATGAGACTGTCCTAGACTCTAGCGTGATGCTACCGAACGTGGCGTGGCCGGTACTGAACGTGACACTGACGAAAGCGACTGCCGAACGTGACGTCCGAACGTGAGAACCACTGCCGAACGTGACACTGTGAGGAAGAACCCACCCGCCTCGAAAAATCGCGTCGGCAACGGGATGCGCAACGAAGGGAGGGAGGAAGCGTCTGTTGCGAGTTGAGACAGCAGTGAACGGAAGCTACAGCGAGCAAGCAGCAACAGTGGATATGATAAGCCAAGTAATGGGTAACGGAGCAGGAATTAGCCTGGGAACGAGCGGGACGATGAATTGACGGAACGGAAAAGTAGAAGCTTGCAATCCCTGGCCTCACCCACTCGCATGAGTTTTACTCGAAGCGCAAGAGTGACTCCCTAAAGGCGTGTAAGGCGCATCACCAGCAACCAAAAAGCCGCGACACATAATGGCTGAAGGCTTGCATGAGTAATGTGTGTGGGTGACGATGATGACTCAGTGTGTCATCCTTATGATGTGTGCTGGTGTTTAGAGGTTTCCAAAGGTTTTCGCGGATGCACAGAGCTTGCGTGTACAGCAAACCTTCAAAACATCCTCTTCCATGAATTGAGTTATCAAGGTGACAACATCCGACGAAGCAAAATGGAACGGTATGCAGTGGTGCAGGGCTCCACCACACACCTGTGGTATCTCTCGCTGAGGGGAATATGCTGACGCTCGTACAGTAATGGCTGACGTGTTGAGGCCCGCCTCTGACCAGGAATGAGCTGTGTGTGGTTGTGGTTGAGGATTCAATGGAGCAGTGACAAAACGACGAAGCCTTCAGTAATAGCACACACAACTGAGGCACAGCGGGATTCTCCATTTTGGACCTGATAATAACAAATATGAATTCCCCCTATGATGCCAATGTTTGTGGTCATTTATTCGTGACATATTTTGCACTAGAATCACAATCAAGGAAATCACAATCGAGGGGATCAATCCGTGAAAAGCTGCTAAATTTTATATGGCCCTTATCCCCAGATCCGGTAGCTGCAATAAGCATATTACTCTAATACCAAAAACACACAAACTACCGTCATCGCCCGGATATAAGACATATATGTCTTATCTCGTACACGGGCAAAAATGCTTGGGTTATCTTGTATTTGGGACGGTTTAGGGTGTCTTATAAGTCTTATAAATGGAAACTTTTTCAACTACTTAGAAATATTTTCACACATCTTGAAACGAGTTTCTCATAATGAGTGTGGATGTTGCAACCACTTCGGCCACTTCGGCAACCACTGCCCGCGACGCCACGTCAGGGAGAAAACTTGCAGGGGCAATTTTGTTAGTACCTGAGTCAGCACGTGGCAGAATTCGCGCTTCGCAAGGGTAAAAATGTACGCGGTATTTCAATTTTCACTATAATATATTGATGTTTCAATTGTAAGACATACATGTCTTATCTCGTACACACTAACAGGTGTCTTATAATGAGGCTAGCCTGTTTATAAGAGACACCCGTATAGTAGACAACCCCTGTCTACTATTCAACACTGTCTTATATCCGGGCGACTACGGTAACAGAGTGAGAAAAAGAGAGAAAATGGTAGAAAGGGTAGGATAAGTTGCATTCATGTGAAGCTTCTTGCATTGGACGGTAAATAATGAGAATGAGGGGAGGGGACTTCGGATTAGTTGTAAATGACCTCTGGGGTACGCCCTGAGGACTACATGATTAAACTGCATATCTTACAATTGATTAAATAATAATGATAACTACCATGGTGTATCTATTTTCAAGAAAGGCCTGACATGTGTAACTGCAAATGAGACGAAAGACCTACCAGGCATCTCAAAACGAATAGGCAGCCCTCCGTAGTCAACTTGTGCAAAGTCTTCAGAATATGACGTTCTCCAGGACAGCACCTCCGACTTGCCGCCTACATTCTTTTGAAACCACCAACTAATGGCAACACGTACCTTCTTCGGTGTCGCCTTTTGGTTCACCACAAACACGCTAATCATTCTCTTCTTTGGGGTGTAGAAAGCCGCAATCCCGAAGTTACACCTCCCCTTGCTAAGGATCAGCTTCCTGCTGCCTCTGGGAGCTAGGCTCGTAAAATGCTTCAATATCCAAAACTTTTTAGAGACCGTCGGTGGAGTGTACGCTGTAGACGCGTCCGGAGCCTTGGACCAATCGATATTAATCATCCCCCAAGTCGAAGACGGGTCCATCGCTTGCCAGTACACCCATCCAGAAGCTTCCAGAATGTTTATGGAAGCAATAATTGACCTTGCCATGTACAGTGCTACACCCATGTCATCCCCGTCCCGATCCAAAGGCCCCCATTCCGATATCCAAACGGGTTTTGACGCCGCCCTAGCCGCCACTTTCATATCGCGGAAGTTTTCCCTTGTCCACTCGACCGGATCTGCCCCGTTTTTTGCCAGGTTCATGTAACCGTGCACGTTGTAATGGTAGATGAACCCATTCAAACTTGCGACGTTTTCCGGAGTTCTCTCGACAAAGCTATCCACAGAAGCAAGCTTCGTTTTAAGCTTCTTCCTTTGCAGAGCAGCCTGAGTCTTCTGTAATACCCGCTTCATCTGCTCTACATCCATGTTGCATCCCTCCTGGCCTCCCCCTTTCTTCCACCACCCCTCCAACGCCTCGTTAAACGGCTCCAAAGTATCGAACACTAATCCCTTCCCCCAGCTTCTGTCCGTTGCAAATTTCTGCACCACGTCAGTGAGAAATTCAGCAAATGCCGTTTCATGTTTCACCATCAAATTACCCTGCCCGTACGTGGCTGCCCCGGCAACATCCCCAGATACCGTCATCCACCATGGCGGGCTGTTGGAAAAGGCCTCAAACGTGTCCGCCCCCCGTGCTCGGGCAGCAAACAAAACCTTCCGCTGCCTGTTGTCCGCTGCCCAGTTATAGGCTGAATTCTCCGTGGCCTTAAATCCAGGCATGCCCCGCCATTTAAGACCGTCGGACTGAAACTGCGGGCTGTTAGTGGTGTTATGGCCGCCTCCTATGTTGTAGCGAACTATGTTGAGGTTTAGACCCGAAGGGGAGAATAGGAGATCCATAAGAGGGTTAAAGTGGTTGTCTGGGAAGCCTCCCACGAAGTTTCCTAGCCTGAGAGGGAGGAAAAAGGGCAGGAAAGAGAGAGCAGTGCTTTTAGTGCTGAAACGCTGTGGTTCTCGAGAAGTGAAAATTGAATAATTCTCTTCTGTTCGAACTAAAATCAGAAGCGAGATTGGTGGTTTGCGAGGGATTGAGAGGTAGGAACTGGGCATTGATGGGATACCAAAAAGGGAGGTGCTGAAGGAGTGAGGGCGGAAAGGAGAAAAGCGGCGGGCTTACCAGCAGAGGGAGGTACTCCAGCCTTGTCACTTGTTCCGCCACCGTGGTGAGGCCAGAGAGGGAACTTGTAAGAAAATAGGGTGTGTAGGAGGGGTAGAGGTAGATATTGAGGAATTAGGGGGAGTGCGGGGGTGGGGGAAGTGAGCAGTACTTACCAGCAGAGGGAGGTACCCCAGCCTTGTCACTTGTTCCGCCACCGTGGTGAGGCCAGAGAGTGAACTTGTCAGAAAATAGGGCGTGTAGGAGGGGTGGAGGTGGAAATTTCGAGGAATTAGGGGCAGTGCGGGGGTGGGGGAAGTGAAAGGCAGTGCTTACCAGCAAAGGGAGGTGCCCCAGCCCTGCCACTTGTTCCGCCACCGCGGGTTCAGAGTCACTGACGCGGGGCCTGGGGGGGAGTGTGGGGAGAAGAATGGGGGGAGGGAGGGGGGAGAGTGGGGGGAAATGGCATGCATCATAGAATGGGGGAATGCATGTGTTCCGCCACCACTCAGGGTCACTGGCGCGGGCCCTGGGATGGGGGGAGTATGGGGGAAGGTGGGGGGAGAGTGGGGGAAGACCGGGGAAGGGTGGGGGGGGGAGGCATGGAACGTGATAGAGTCTACGTGTTCCGCCTCCGCAATCGCAGAGGCACAGTCGAGGAGCATGGGGGAAGGGGAAGGGGGCAGAAGGGGAGAGGAGACTGGAGGACGAGGCTAAAGCGACGGAGACACAGACGTGGGGTGGGGGTGCGAGAACGAGGCACAGCATTCCCGCCACTTGTGCCGCCACCTTGGGTTCAGGCCCAGAGGCACAGCGCGAGGCGGGCAATGCAGAGGACGAGAGAGTATTTGTGAGATGAAGGTGTATCGCTGTACCTTGCCCAGTGCATATATCGAAGAGCTCAGTAGCGGGAGTCAGGTTCGGTGTGGAGACCGCTAAAGGCCGACTTGAGTTACCGCCGCTCGATGAGACTCGCACGCTCGCGAGCGGGGTAGCTTGCGACGACGCTTGCGACGCGGCTGCTCGCGAAGGCTTTTCGCTGCAAGGGATCGGCACGGGGTGCGGCGACAGCTCTTGGCGAAAACAGATGGGGGGCCCAACGGGATCTCCTGATGTGCCTGAAACGACCGGTAGTGTGATATTTACGGAGTAGTCTACACCGGGAATATCTGGAACTATCTCGTCGTCGGGAGTCGGGGCTGGAGCGTTTGCGGAAGGTTCTCCGGAGACTTCAGCAGCGGAGGACGCGGCGGAGAAGACGGAGAGCAGGAGGAAGATAAGATAGAGTCTGAGAGAGAGTGAGCGGAGGTGCCGAGGCGTCATCTTGGCGCAATGCTGCTACTACCAGACCGTTATTTTAAGACGGTCTAGTAGACCGTGCTTGAGGAACTTTAAAGAATAATTAAAAAAAACCTATGGCGCAACTCCGTTAGACCGTCGAGTTTCAGGGACAAACGCCGCTTGCTCCGCCGTTATAGCATTTGTGACGATTAACGTGGGCTTCAACGATCAGTGACAATTTCTGTCAGCGATGTACTCCGTCAGACATGCCAACCATCAGTCGCCTAAACCGTCCGTCAACCAATTCGCCCGTCCGTCATCCTATCCGTCAGTCGCCAGCCTGAAGTTGGTGAGTATCTCGAAATAACCGATTGCTGTGCGTCGTTCTTACACTACAGCGCACTTTCTCGAGGTACGAACACCAGTGAAAGAAAAGAGATGTATTGTATAACATCTATACATACGATCTTGACCCCCTACGAGTGCTTGGTAAGCAACGACGTCGAATAAATTACTAGCCGCTGTGCTCACTAGGTAGCGACAGTTTCAACGAAGCATGCCGGGGAAGTAATTACTCAAAATGGTGGGTGGCCAGCACACATTTGAAAAGGACGGAAGGTTCCGTAGGATCAAAATGACGGCGAGGCGCTGTCACTGGCCTGGAGGAAGGAATGTGGGAAACCGAATTGGTATGGCGCGGAGGGGGGGCTAATTAGGGCGTGTAACCATCTCGATTTTTTACGATTTTGCGGACCGTCCGTATAGTATTAAGCGGACGGTCTTAATAACGAGAACAGGACCGTCCGCTTTGAAGTTTCGGAACCGTGGCACCGTCCGAATAGAAAAGTGACACTTTTTCACACCTCCCCAGTCTCGCGAGAACTGTAGCGTCGCCCAGCCCTCGCTAATCAAATAACCCAATGTACAAATATTCGCAAGTATCGCGAGCCAGCATGGCGGCTCGATTTCAAACATTTTGTAGTGACATCTAGGCTGCCTGGGTGATCCATCTCGGGCGTTCTGATTGACAATCTCGGGCCGCGCAGGGCGGCTCGGCAGCGGGGTGTAGATATGAATTTCGCGCGCCAACCCAGGCGGAGTGGTGGCGGACCGTCCGTTGTGGTTTCGGACGGCCCGAAATGGCAGTTTCGGACGGAGGGAAAGGGAGAAAAGTGTCATATGGTTCGTTGTTTTTGGCGACGTCGCAAGGGGTATTGGCGAACAATATACGAAAGTGCACGAAGTGGGTAACATTTCGCCAATCCGGACGGTCCACAATTCGGACCGTCCGGATGGAAAATGGCAAAATGGTTACACGCTCTTAGGCACGGCAGCCATGAATCCGTGAACAGCGCTTAGCGGGGTTTACCTGAAAACAGCGAACCGCTAATGGGAGAATCTACTACCTGATCACAATTGTCTGTATGCGCAAAGTTCGGTGATGTCGCACTTTGATTGACATGCTTTGTGCCACGAGTTTCGAGAAGTTGACGGGGAAAGGACATCTGTTCGCTTACAAAGTTCTGCACAAATTTCACAACTACAAATTGAACTGTGTGGCTCTGGAATGTTTTGCATGTCTAATTGCGACCCAGAGCGGCAAGACAAGCAGGCGTGGTTCTCAACGGCTAGTTTCCAGAAGTTTAGGCCGTCGGGCAGAAAAGCCATCTAATAAAAGCGATATAGCCGTCGACTGAGAATATCGTCACAAATCGAACGTTTGAATAAAAGTTTCGGGCACCTGGAGACTCGGTGCTTCTGTTGTGGAACGGGGGAACCGACGTGAAATTTGTCGGTGAAAGCCTCAAGTAGATGACAATTTGATACAGCTGGTTCCGATCATGTTTTTAACACGTTCCGATCAGAAAATGTCAATCAGTGAGTACCAATGAGGAAAAAATGGCTCACAACTTTCATACGCTTTCACATATTGAGGACACATCCCTCGGACACCAAATAACCTGTACATAAAGTTGAACAGTCATCAAAACATTCCTTACACAAGCTTCACCTCCCTGTTAAAAACCCAGCTGAACTTGCCCGTCTGCGGGCCGCCCTTCTTCACCTTATCCGCCGCCCGCTCTGCCAACCTCCTGATCCTGGGCGGCAGCTTGCAGACAAACTCCTGCGCACGTGCCGCCTCTGGGGAGAGCCCCTCCATTTTCTCCACGTCCCACACCGCTATAAGGTGCTCCATTATATCAGCGTAATCGCCAGCAGTATACACCCCAGTGCGCTGTGCTACTGCGGAGAAATCGTCAAAAAGTTTTGGGTTCTCCCCATCATACATGAGGTGAGCTGGCATGACGATCTGAAAAGTGGTCACAGCAGATTGGGTGGGGAAAGGGGGCGTGGATTGAAAGGGGGAAAAAAGTGATAATAAAAAAAAGTGTACGAGTGAACACGTTATGTTGAAGTGGACGGGTTATTACTCACAACATAAGGTGAAGTGGCATGAAGAGAGGTTAGTGTCAGTGTGCCAGATGGGAGAATGAAAACGGCAACAGACTCTACTTCAACATGACGTAAACCACGCACCTGCTTCCTCATCATGTCTTCAAACGCAAGCATAGCCCCGGACGGATCGAGCTCAAAGAGCCGCGACACGATCGCACAGTACGCCTTCTCGTGCCTCTTCTCATCGGCCGCTATCATCCCACAAATCACAGCCAGCCGGTCATCTCCAAACTCTTTGGCGTGGCGTGCCGTGTTGCCGTGGGAAATGAAGGTCGCTCGCTCCTGGAAGGATGTATAGACGAACCCCAGATAGGGGTTGTTCTCGGTCTTGGGGTCCTGGTGGTGTGAGGAGGAAAGCAAGACGGGAGTGAGGGAGGGAGTGAGGGAGGGAGTGAGGGAGGGAGTGAGGGAGGGAGTGAGGGAGGGAGTGAGTGAGAGTGTGGACGGTACACCTTCTCACGCCTCTTCTCATGCCTCTCCTCATGCCTCTTCTCATCGGCCCCTATCTTTCCGCGTATCACGTCCAGCCGGTCATCTCCAAACTCCTTGGCGTGCCGTGTTGCCGTGGGAAATGAAGGTCGCCCACTCCTAGAAGGATGTATAGACGAACCCCAGATAGGGGTTATTTTCAGTCTTGGGATCCTGTTGCGGGAGTGAACGCACGAGGTGGTGGGAAACGGGAAATGGGAGATGAAGGTCGCTCGCTCCTGGAACGACGTATAGACAAAGCCCAGGTAGGGGTTGTTCTCGGTCTTGGGGTCCTGGTGGTGTGAGGAGGATATTAAAAAGGGAGTGAGGGATGGAGTGAGTGAGAGTGTGGATGGTATACCTTCTCACGCCTCTCCTCATGCCTGTTCTCATCACAGGACGTATAGACGAAGCCCAGGTAGGGGTTGTTCTCGGTTTTGGAGTCCTGCTGCGGGAGTGAACGCACGAGGCGGTGGAAAGTGGGAGATGGGATGTGGGAGATGGGATGTGGGAGATGGGATGTGGGAGATGGGATGTGGGAGATGGGATGTGGGAGATGGGATGTGGGAGATGGGATGTGGGAGATGGGATGTGGGAGATGGGATGTGGGAGATGGGATGTGGGAGATGGGATGTGGGAGATGGGATGTGGGAGATGGGATGTGGGAGATGGGATGTGGGAGATGGGATGTGGGAGATGGGATGTGGGAGATGGGATGTGGGAGATGGGATGTGGGAGATGGGATGTGGGAGATGGGATGTGGGAGATGGGATGTGGGAGATGGGATGTGGGAGATGGGATGTGGGAGATGGTCGCTTTCTCCTGGAAGGATGTAAAAACAAACCCCAGATAAGGGTTATTTTCAGTCTTGGGGTCCTGTTGCGGGAGTGAACGCACAAGGCGTTGGGAAATGGGAGATAGGAGTCGAAGGTTGCTCACTCCTGGAATGACGTGTATATAGAAGCTTCACTCTCTTGGAAGGACGTGTGTATCGAAGGTTCACTCATAGCGGAAGAGCAGCAAAATCCGAAGTTTGTTACACACTTAAAGCAATTAGAGGAACGAAACATGACTTCACTTCCTGGAAAGGATCAGTAAAACTCGAAAACTTGTAATCGAAGCAAACCTTTGACATCGTAAGGTGCTAGTCATATATTTATATATATATATATATATAATTTCCAGTTTCGTTCCTCTTGTTGCTTTAAGAGTTTCCTAAACTTCAGATTTGCTGCTCTTCTGCATATCCACACTCACCACCCCATTTCTTCACCCTCACTCGTAATTCACCATCCCCGAGCCAATCAGGTAGTTGATTGTCTTCTCGACAGCCCGCATATCCACCCGCCCGGAGAGATACAGATACCGATTCAGCAGATCCCCGTGCCGATTCTCCTCCGCCGTCCATTTCCTCGTCCACACAGCCCACGGGCTCGGGCTCGCGCCAGTCTCGTCTCTAGTCCCATCCAGGGTATTGAGCATGGTTTGGTAGGTGGGGAGGGCCTCCTCGGTGATCATATCCCCCACAAGGCACACCAGGTAGTCGTCTGGGAGGCCTGCTGCTCTGGCTTGGAGGTCGGCCAGCTCATCCAAGAAAGAGTCCATTTCGGGTTGGGGGAGGTAATCCTGCCGGAGGTGCGGTGGGGCGGGAGGGGGGAAGGGGAGGGTAAGAGGAGAGGAGGAGAGGAGGAGAGGAGGAGAGGAGGAGAGGAGGAGAGGAGGAGAGGAGGAGAGGAGGAGAGGAGGAGAGGGGGAGAGGAGGAGAGGGGGAGAGGGGAAATGAGTCACGGTTTCCTCGTCCACACCACCCACAGGCTGGGACTCACACCAGTTTCATCCTTGGTCCCGTCGAGGGTATTCAGCATGGTTTGATAAGTGGGTGGCCCCTAGTCCTGGTAGGTGGGGAGGGCCTCCTCGGTGATCATATCCCCCACGAGGCACACCAGGTAGTCGTCTGGGAGCCCTGCTGCTCTGGCCTGCAGGTCGGCGAGTTTATCGATGAAAGCGTCCTGCTCGGGGTGAGGGAGGTTCCTGTGGGGGGGGGGAGGGAAAAGGGGGAGGAGAGGTGGGATCCAGGTTAGTCAGATCATATCCCCCACGAGGCACACCAGGTAGTCGTCTGGGAGCCTGCTGCCGTGGCCTGCAGGTCGGCCAATTCACCCAGAAAAGAGTCCTGTGGAGTGAGTAATTTTTTAGAATTCTCAAAAATACCACGCCACACCAAGTAACCGTCTCAGAGGCTGCCAGCTGGCCTCGACGGGTTTCGGCAGCGGCTGCGACGTGCTCTCTCGCCCAGCTGCCCACCATTGTCAGACGCTCCCCTCATGCTCGTGCGCTCTCTATTCATTCACCACAGCAGCCTCACTTATGCCCCACCTGAGCCTGCCAGCTGGCCTCCATGGATTTCAGCAGCGGCAGCAGCGTGCTCCCCGCCCAACCATCCATGAACTGGACGATTGCCAGTCGCTCACTGCACCTCAATGAACCGCACTGCACCTTACTGCACCTCACCAACGCCACCACACCCACCTGAGGCTGCCAGCTGGCCTCCATGGGTTTCAGCAGCGGCAGCAGCGTGCTCGCCGCCCAACCGTCCATAAACTGCACAATTGCCAGTCGCTCACTGCACATCAATGAACCTCACTGCACCCCACTGCGCCTTCATGCACCTCAACACCGCCAGCCTCACCTGAGGCTGCCAGCTGGCCTCCACAGGCTTCAGCACCAGCAGCAGAGCACTCTGCTGCCGGTGCCATCCATGGAGAGCACTCTGCTGCCGGTGCCATCCATGGACTACACGAATGTGCAGATGGTGTCCGCTCTGCAGCAGCTCACCACCATTTCCTCCCCATGTGATAATGCTACGAGCGCCTTTGCAGCAGCCTTACACCTCCAACACACCAACGCCAGACTCACCTGCGGCTGCCTGCCAGCTGGCCTCCACGGGTTTGAGCAACGGAAGCAGTGTGCTCTCCGCCCAGCCATGCCATCCATGGACTGAACCATCGCCAGTCGCTCACTGCACCTCAATGAACCTCACTCCACCCCACTGCAATGGCAGCAGTGTGCTCTCCGCCCAGCCATCCATGGACTGCACCATCGCCAGTCGCTCCCGCGTGATGGTGTGACGCGATGTGCACTCCTGCTTGCAGCAGCCTTACCTGCACGTCTGCCAAACGCACCTGAGGCTGCCAGCTGGCCTCCACAGGCTTCAGCAGCGGAAGCAGCACCGCCTCCGCCCAGCCATCCATGGACTGAACGATCGCCAGTCTCTCCTTTGTAATGGTGTGCGCGCGTTGCTGCGGCACCACCAGAGTTGGTCCATTTTTGGCAGCCGAACCGTTTGCAGGAGGGCCGGAAACCCTGGGGAGGGAGAAAAGCAGCACACATGGATAGAGGCGCCTCAAGAGGGGGAAAGCAGTCTGCTCTTCCCCCAGCCATCCATGGAGTGTACGACTGCCAGTCTCTCCTTCGTAATGGTGTGGGCGCGCTGCTGCGGCACCAGCACCATCGGCCTTGCTTTCTTGGCCGCAGAGCAGTTTGCAGGAGAGTTGGACACCCTGGGGAGGGGGAAATGCACGCACGGAAGGGAGAAGAGAGGGGGCAAGGGGATAGCCAGTCTCTCCTGTGTGATGGTGTGGGCGCGCTTCTGCGGCAGCAGCACCATCGGCCTTGCTTGCTTGGCCGCAGAGCAGTTTGCAGGAGAGTCCGAGTTGGACACCCTGGGGAGGGGGAAATGCACGCACGGAAGGGAGAGGAGAGGGGGAAAGGGGATAGCCAGTCTCTCCTGTGTGATGGTGTGGGCACGCTGCTGCGGCACCACCACTGTCGGCCCTGCTTTTTTGGCCGCTGAGCAGTTTGCAGGAGAGTCGGATGGACACCCCGGGGAGGGGGAAATGCACGCACAGAAGGGAGAAGAGAGGGGTCAAGGGGACAGCCAGTCTCTCCTGTGTGATGGTGTGGGCGCGCTGCTGCGGCACCAGCACTGTCGGCCCTGCTTTTTTGGCCGCTGACCGCCGGACCCGCTGCCTTGTTAGTACTGCCTGTGCCGTGCCGTTTAGACGCCTCAAATAGCGTCTGAATGCAGCGTAGCTGCCATAAGGCTACTTAGCCACGCCTCTGGCAGTCGTAAAAAAACCGCCGGGCTTTTTAGTCAGGCCCTCTGCCGTTCAGTGAGACGATTTTTCAGATGCCTCAAATATTTGTGAAGCACGGGGCCCCAAATACGGTAACGTAGCTGCTGTGAAGCTACTTAGCCACGCCTCTGGCATCCGTCAAGTTGACTATTGAGTCGACTCCAAAATAGACGCCGCCTCAAATAGCGTCTCCATGCAGCGTAGCTGCAGAGAAGTTACTTAGCCACGCCTCTGGCATTGGGCAAAGCACCAAAGGGCTCTTTATGATGGAGGAGAAGGCTGGAAAGGAGAAGGCAAGAAGAAGAAGGAGGAGAAGCGGAAGGAGGAGAGAGACTGAGTATGTCATGATTCGATTCAAACTGGTTCACTAGTAGTGCGTGCGGATTTGAAAACCAGATGGGACATGATCTCAGGTGGTGAAATTAATTTCATCCGTAACCGCTCAGAGCGGCGGCATGAGATAGCACCAATCGGCGTGGAGCCACGAATCAGCGTCGTGCGACGCGAGAAAATTGGCTTTCTCTCTCCCCCTCCCTTTGCCGCGAAAGCCTTTGGTAGATGCACGGTGCTCTACGACGTCACGTGCGAATAGGTTACAGCTTTCGGTGACACCTGTTTCGCGACGAGATTGAATGACGGGATAACGATGGCAAACGCGTTGAAAATTGACCGAGGCAGAGGAAATGGGTATAAGCAGTTTCGCTGAACATTTAGGATGAACCCACCTCGTGTAACGAGCGGCTTACTTGGGAGGAATGGTCGCAGTCATCGCCCATCGCGACGCACTCCCCGCAGCGACGCCGTGCGACGTCAACGAAATGGGTGTCGCGGAAATCGCGAGGCGCTTAGCGTTCGCCAGTGAATTCGCGGACGTCGCTGAGCGGCTCGCGACATGGAGGCTCGCCGAGAGCGAAAGAGAAGCCATGCTGATGCGACGGCAGATCGCGGGAATCCAAGAGTAACAAATTCAACTTAAAAGTTGTTGAACGGAAGGTAAGGCTCAGGATAAGGTCTCCACTGGGACACCCAAGCAGAGTTAGTGGACAAACAGACGGAAGACAGAAAGGTCTGGGGGGATGAATGAAGAGGAGAAGAAACTAGAAGTCCTGAATCTGATGTGGCCGAAGCAAGTGTTCTTCGCACGAGTGATGCGTAACTGGCCGACAGGCAGTGACGGACTTTGAGCACCACCACCACCATGCTCGGGAAACTGATGACGGTTGGAGGATGTGAATGTGGCGGGAAAGTCGGCAATATGAGGCTCTGATCTGAACACTGCTCTGGGGTTCGTTTTCCTTCCAAAAACCATTCCAAACGATTGTATATGATTCACGAAATGTGTTACATATAGAACGCACATCCCTGCACCCTATTCGGGTGAAGGGATGCGCCAATTGACTTGGGGATATGCAAACAGGCGAAGTGTGCGATGAGTGCAACGATTTCGTCTTGTTGATATAAGTTCGGTAGTTACCAAATCGTCGTTCATGTGCCGCGATCTCGCCTGCATGCGAAGACTAGAGAAATGTTAGTGACCTACCTGCACCTCTGCGCAATTCCGTCCCAGTGAGTGGTGAAGAACAATCGCGCCTACAATGAGGGAAGCAGCCGGATCGCGAGCCAAATCGCGGCTCGCAATAGATGCCGGTTGCGAATAAACTGACGATGATTTACGAGGTCCCCATTTTCAACGACTGGGAATGTCATGACAGCGTTTGCACGACGAGGCGAAACCATCGTCAACAGGCTGACTGTCAGCCAGCAATACCCGACGCTGTATGGTCGCGACTCGCATCGACAAACCCGAGGTTCTCCATCGCAAGAAGTCGCCCTCAGATCTTGCCCATGCGTGACACGTGGAAGAAACTGTGCTGCCAAAAAGGAGGGGTGTGCCAAGGCTTACAGAACTGTACAGCCAGTAACGACTGACGATGTGTACATGTAATATTATACAGCCACACAAAAAAGCCTCTCTTCTACAGAGCCGCCTTCAACATACGGTAGATGCTTTCTACAAGAAACAGAATGCAGAGAACGCCTTCAACACAGATCCTACACTTACTCCTACCTAGTTGTACACAGCACCCTAAGCTAAAGACCTAATATGCGTGATTGCAAATGACATAAACGACCGACCAGGTATCTCAAACCACAGAGGCCTGGTTCCTCTTCTGTAGTGAATCTCCTCAAAGTCCTCAGAGAAAGAAGTTCTCCATGAACGCACCTTGGTTTTCCCGCCAACATTCCTTATAAACCACCAAGGCATGTAAACCTTTACCTTCCTTGGTGCACCCTTCTGATTCACCACAAACACGCTAATCAATCTCTTCTTCGGGGTGTAAAAAGCAGCTATCCCAAAGTGGCAGTCCCGCTTGTTGATAAGCAGCCTCCTGCTGCGAGGAGGAGCAAGGCTTGTGAAATGCTTTAAAATCCAAAACTTTTTGGAGACCAGCGGCGGAGTGTACTCAGTAGACGCATTAGGAGTTTTCGACCAATCGATGTGGATTAAAGCCCACGACGCAACGGGGTCGATCGCCTGCCAGTACACCCACCCAGTAGCTTCCAAAATGTTGACCGATGCAATGATTGATCGCGCCATGAACAGTGCGACATCCGTGTCCTCCCCGCCTCGCTGCAGCGGCCCCCATTCCGAAACAAACACCTCCTTCGCCTGAGACTTTGAAATATCCTTCATCACGTGAAAATTCTGCGTCGTGAATTCAACGGGGCTCGCCCCGTTTTGTGCTAGGCTCATATAACCATGCACGTTGTAGCGAATCAGGAACGGGCTGAGAATGCTCCCGATCTGCCTCGGAGTGGTTTGGACAAAGCTATCTACCCCCGCAATCTTCGTTTTAAGCTGCTTCCTTTCAAGAGCAGCCTGCACCTTCGGCAGAATGCGTCTCATCTGCTGTATATTGATATTGCATCCCTCCTGCCCTCCCCCCTGCCTCCACCACCCTCCAACGCCTCATTAAACGGCTCTAAAGTGTCAAACACTAAACCTTTCCCCCAGCTTTTATCCTTTGCAAACTTCTCCACCACGTCGGTAAGATATTCTGCGAAAGCTGTTTCGTATTCCACCTTCAAGTTACCCTGCCCGTATGCGGGTGCGCCCGCAACATCCCCCGAAACCGTCATCCACCACGGCGGGCTGTTGGAAAAAGCGTCGATCCTGTCTGCACCCCGCTCCCGGGCAGCAAACAAAACTCTGCGCTGCCTGTCATCCGCTGACCAATTATAAGCTGCTTGCTCCGTGGCCTTAAAGCCCGGCATGCCTCGCCATTTGACATAGCCCGTTAAGAACCTGGGGCTATTAGTAGCATTGTAGCCGCCTCCTATGTTGTAGCGAACTATGTTGAGGTTTAGACCCGAGGGGGAGAATAGGAGGTCCATTAGAGGGTTGAAATGCTCGTCTGGGAAGCCTCCCACGAAGTTTCCTAACCTGGGAGGGGGGCAGGGAAAGGGGCAGGAACATTGAGATGGGAAGATGGAGAGTGCAGGGAGGAATGAGGCGGCAGAAATGGTGGTTCGTTTTGGGAGAGGAGAGTAAGGGTGCGACACTGAGGGAGTTGACTTTTGAGTCGACTCTTAAGTCATTTTGGGAGAGGAGAGTAAGGGTGCGACACTGAGGGAGTTGACTTTTGGGTCGACTCTTAAGTCATTTTGGGAGAGGAGAGTAAGGGTGCGACAGTGAGGGAGTTGACTTTTGAGTCGACTCTTAAGTCATTTTGGGAGAGGAGAGTAAGGGTGCGACACTGAGGGAGTTGACTTTTGAGTCGACTCTTAAGTCATTTTGGGAGAGGAGAGTAAGGGTGCGACACCGAGGGAGTAGACTTTTGAGTCGACTCTTAAGTTTTTTTGGGAGAGGAGAGTAAGGGTGCGACACTGAGGGAGTTGACTTTTGAGTCGACTCTTAAGTCATTTTGGGAGAGGAGAGTAAGGGTGCGACACTGAGGGAGTTGACTTTTGAGTCGCCTCAAAAGTCATTTTGGGAGAGGAGAGTAAGGGTGCGACAGTGAGGGAGTTTGTATCACTGTTACGGTGATAAATCTGAAGTGTTGTTACATTGAGACGATGGTGCTATGCAGAGCAGATCGAGTGGGAAGGAGGGAGGGGGAAGGGAACGAAGGGAATGGGGAGGGAGGGGAGGAGGGGGGACTGGTGGTGGGTGGTGCCCCGCCCAAAGGGGGGTGGACGAAAGGAGGAAACAGGGAGAAGGGGGTGAAATGGAGAAGGGGCAAAGAGGAGAAGAGGGGAGAAGGGAGAAAGAGAGAACGGGGGGAGAGGGAGAAAGGGGGATAGAGAGACGGGGGGAAAAGGGAGAAAGAAAAAAAACGGGAGAAAGGGGAAAAACGGAGAAAGGGGAAAAACGGAGAAAGGGGAAAAAGGGAGGTAGGAGAAGGGGGGAAAAGGGAGAAAGGGGAAAAGGGGAGAAAATGGAAAAGGGGAGAAAATGGAAAAGGGGAGAAAATGGAAAAGGGGAGAAAATGGAGAAGAGGGAGAAATGGGGAAAATGGGGAGATGGGGGAAAAGGGAGAGGGGGAGGGAAGGGAGAAGGGGGAGGGAAGGGAGAAAATGGAAAAAGGGAGAAGCGAAAAATAGGGAAAACGAACGAAAGGGAGAAACGGGATACCAGGGGGGTGGCTTACCAGCAGAGGGACGTGCCCCATCCCCGCCAGGTGTTTCGCTTACGTGTCTTGAGAGTCACTGACACGGAAGCTGGGGAAAGGGGAGTGTGGGGGGAGGGGGAAGAGCAGGGGAAACAGCACTGCTTGTTCCGTGCCAGCAGAGGGACGTGCCCCATCCCCGCCAGGTGTTTCGCTTACGTGGCTTCAGAGTCACTGACACGGAGGCTGGGGTTGAGGGAAATAGGGGGGGGCGGAGGGGGGGAGGAAAGTGCAGATGAGATGGGACACTCTCAGATTAATTTTCCGGGCGGAGGCTCGGAGAGGGAGGGATGTGTGGGGGGGGAGGGAAGGGTTGGAGGGGAAGTGGGGAGGGGTGAGACTGGGTGTAAGTTCGCACAAGACGTTTTCAATGCAATAAGAATCAGATCTGATTCGAAAACCAGGTCTGATGCGAGGGGACCATTCGCGAAGTCGTCGCGTGAGGGGGATACGATAACGGCGGCAAAGGGACGAGCGAAGGCGATACCCAAGCGAGACTATTTTAGGAGGTACTAGTGTGCGGCTGTGAACGACTGTGCGCGACGCGGCGACGGTGAGCGACTTTGAGGGGTGATACGGAGGGCGCGAGTCTACTTCAGTCTACTAGTTTGCGACTGTGAGGGGCGATACGGATGAGTGAGCGACGACGAGAGAGCGGCGAGTAGTGAGGGACGACGAGTGAGCGACGACGAGTAAGCGACGACGAGTGCGCCGCAACTCGCGGACTCGTTCAACGACAACGTGCGTGCGCGCGGCTCGCGGCGAAAGCACTGCAGTGCGAAAAAAAAGTACGACTTTATCCGCACATGCGACGATTACATGCGACCTTATCCGCACGATCACAAGCCTCAGCCGCACGATTGCACGCAGCTTCACCCGCATGGTCACATGCGACCGCAGCAGCGCGATCACATGCGACCGTCGCACGAGAACGAGCGAAAAAGGGAGTCGACAAACAAGTGTACAACCTGAACAACAACAAAAAAAAAGAGTAGAACTGTACATTTTCCAGTGCATATGTCGAAGAGCTCAGTAGCGGGAGATAGGTTGGGCGTGGAATCACCCACGAGAGGCCGACTCAAATTAGTAGCGCTGGATGAGACCCGTCGCACGCTGGCGAGCGACAGCATTTGCGACACGCGCGACGCCGTCTGCGCCGCGGCTGCTTGCGAAGGATCGTCGTCACAAGGGATCGGAACCGGGTGCGGCGATAACCCTTGGCGAACACACACGGGAGGACCTACAGGATCTCCTG